TCTCCTGGGTTGCTTTCAGGGGAGTTGGATTTGGCTAAAGGGGATAGGCCCACCAAATGCTCCCGGCATCTGCGCTGTCTACAAGCCTTGTCAGCTGTATCAACCCATCCCAGCATTGTCAAGGAGACCCTGCCTCTGCTTCTGCAGCATCTGTGCCAGATGAACAAAGGTAACTATCAGGACTGGACATCAAGGAGCTGGGCTGAATGGGGAGCTGTGGTCAGGTTTGGAGTTGATGCCTCTAAGGCAGTAATTCTAGTGGTGGTTGCACAGAGGAATCACATGGGAACTCTCAAAATAAAATAGTGCCTGGGCCTCATTTCGTCCAACTAAATCAATCTGTGTGGAAGGATGGGACTTGGGCAACAGTAATTATTAAGAGTGCCCGTTAATTTTCATGTGGAGCCAGAATTGAAAAGTACCACTCTAAGGCCGTGATTCTGAAAATGTAGTCCATGAACCAATAGCATGGGCATCATCTGAGAGCTTGTTAGAATCTTGGGCCCCACTGATCAGAATCTGCATTTTAACAAGATTTCTGGGTAACTCGTACACACTCTTTACTTCGAGATTGTCATATGTTCTAAGGCATAAGTGACTGCTGCAATTGGCACTGCAAACTTATACATGCTCACCATGGGCCCTCCCTCGTTCCCACGCTCCCTGCTTTGCATTGCCCAGTCTTTGTGGTAGGTCCAGTCAACAACGGGTGATCTACTGTTCCACAGTAGAAAGAACATGACTCAGAGTGTGGCCTGGGTTACCTCCTGGCTTTGCACTTTCTGTGACCCTGGAAATACCACTGGTAGTTTCATTGTGTCTCCACATCCTCTATAAAATGGGGAAAATGATCTTTCTTGAGTAATGAAAAATGTAAAAATGTGTGTGAATGCTTCTGCTGCAGAGCCTGGCATAGAGCAGGTCTCAGCTCCAGAAAGTAGATGAAAAACACCCCCCAAAATAAAATGAATTGGTTCTTTAATAAGACGCTCTTGATCACTCGCCTTTATTCTTTCCATCTGCTCTATCTGAAATACCTAGAAGTACTTTAAGGAAGACCTTACAGAGAATACTTTCTCACCACACAGGGAATGTGGTTGCAGGACCAAGCGAAGTTATTGCTGTCTGTCAGAGCCTCCAGCAGGTGGCAGAAAAATGCCAGCTGGACCCAGAAAGCTGCTGGTATTTCCATCAGACAACTATACCTTGCCTGCTTGCCTTGGCTGTGCAGGCTTCCATGCCAGGTAACAATCTCCACCTCACCTCCTACCCTCTAGACTTCAGGCTTCCACTAGTGTTGAACAGCACTGCCACCCTCGGGGTTTTGCTGGTATTGCATTTTGTACCACCAGAAGCTTAAGATTTCACTTCAAGCAATGGGTGCTAACTGACCAACAGCACAAACCGAAGTCCATTAGTGTTAACAATGCTCAAAAGGATGCACACCCTTTTCCTGTTTAATTGCTATCTAATTAGTTTAGTTAGAATAAATCTCTGGAGTTAAGTAGACCTGGCTAGGTTTCATCTTTAACTCTACCACTCACTAACTTGGGTAAAGATATTTAGCCTTTCTAAGATCTATTTCCTCCTTATAAGGAGGAGATAAAGAGAAATATCTATATCACAGGGTAGTTGCTAATGAGTAAGTAAGATAACACATAATAGCTGGCAACATAGTAATGTATGTAGGTATCATAGTTCAATGTATTGTAGCTGCTATAATAATGACGACATGAGATAAGCCCATATTATTTTTAGGGATTTGAAAAGGCCAACATAACTATTTCTGATGTTAAGAACGTTCATATTAGCTGGCCTTATTTTCCATTATTGCCCAGTGTAAGGACTGCGCAGAGTCATCAAGAGCTCTCTGGCCCAGGTTAGACTGCTCTGCCTCTGGTACCTTGCTGGTTCCCTGGTCTATAGCACTACTACAGGGCAAGTTAGGAACCACTGCTGTTGTGACTAGACTCGGGCTCCAGTCGTGATGACAGGACCTGACCATCTCCCCCCAGGCTTAGCTGTGTGCTTGTGTGTGTGTGTGTGCTTTGATTTTGCAGAGGAACACTCAGTTATGAGAAAAGTGCTGTTGGAGGATGAGGTCTTGGCCGCCATGGTGTCTGTCATTAGCACCGCCACCACCCACTTAAGCCCTGAGTGAGTATAATGATGGATGTGGCTTAATCCTAGGGAGGATAGCAGTCGTGGAAGAAGCAGCAAGTAGCTGCCTCTGGGCTGTCCTTTTACCCAGAATCAAATGTGGAGGCAGCTATTTGTCTTGTCCATTTTGCTGGCAAAGTAAGGGGTTTTTAGCACCATGGACCATGGGGGTGGGTGAGCCATGGACTGATGTGCATAAGAATCACCTGTGGAGCATTTTTTAAATATATAGAGTTCTCTCACTAGATTTGAGCTCCAGAACAAGGATTTGATCTGTGTGGCTTGCTGCTCTATCACCAGGGCCTAGAATGGGCATGGTTGCTGGCATATAGTATGTGCTGAATTAATAATTGTTGAATGTGTGAATGATTGTGCTCTGACCCATTCATTGACTTGGTGACTAACTGGAACCCCAGGGCTACAACCCTGGCTTCTTGGTGACACCTAGTCCTCTACCCCTAGTTTAGCTGAACAGAGTGTCACCCACATTGTGCCCCTCTTCTTGGATGGCAACACCTCCTTTCTGCCTGAAAACAGCTTCCCTTGCAGATTCCAGCCATTCCAGGTGAGGATCTGATAGATCAGATTGGGTAGAATCCTGGGATTTCTGTCTGTGTCTAATTTCTAGGGCTAATGTGGGATGGGTATTGGAGCAGATAAGCCTATTGCTGGCATGATAGGCTTGATTATGCTCTTCTTCCTTCATAGGATGGCTCCTCAGGACAGAGGAGGCTGGTTGCACTGCTGATGGCCTTTGTCTGCTCCCTGCCTCGAAATGTAAGTGGACACATGTGGAGAGTACCCTTGTGTACTCTGACATTCCCCCTGACAAGGGGCAGTGGATGCTGGGCTGAAATTTGTCACAGGCTTAAGTGATCTACTTTCCCTGCTGGAGAATGTGATTCTCATCCATCTGGTCCTTGCCGCTGTTTTCTACTGGGTATCTCTTTGAATTCCAGTGTTCTCTGGGCCCGTTACACGACCATGTTTTCTGTAGGTGGAAATCCCTCAGCTGAATCAACTCATGCAGGAACTTTTAGGGCTGAGCTGCTGCCCTGGCTGCCCCTTCTCCTCCACCGCTGCTGCCAAGTGCTTTGCAGGACTCCTCAATAAGCACCCTGCAGGTACTGGAAGCCTCCCTGATGAAATCTTGAAGTTCAGTCCTCGGGTTTTAAAAAGGAGCTTGCTAACAATAAATATAATAGGGTTTCCCAGGGGTCAGCCCTTGGGACAAGAGTTTAGACCAGAGTTGGGGAAAGCACTGCAGGACACAGGAAGATAAGGGGGTACAAGCAGTGTCTAGTTCTGTCATCCTACTCCCTGTTAGGGGTCATTCTTTATTAGGAGTGGACAACTCTTTTCAAATGCCAGCACGCCTGTGCCATGAAGATACCAGGCTCTTGTGCTGGTGTTTCAGAGTTGAGTGGGCAAAGCCCATAGCCAAATGATACTTTTTCTAATGGCTTCTCAGGGAGCTCTGCATTGAAATGATTTATATCCTTCGTTGTTAAAAAAGAAATAGGTAGCCTTCACAGCAGCATCTCCTTCCTCCTTTTTAGGGCAACAGCTGGATGAATTCCTACAGCTGGCTGTGGACAAAGTGGAGGCTGGGCTGGGCTCTGGGTCCTATCGTAGACAGGCCTTCACACTGCTGCTCTGGGTAAGGAGTTGAAATGGATTCTGGTTAGACAGTTACGTCTGGTTAAGTAAAATTTCTCCACTTGACCTGGAACCATAAATAAGCATGCTTCTCAGGGTTTTGGGGTTTGAGTGTCATTCCCTAACCATTCTCTTCTCTGATTACAGGTAACAAAGGCCCTAGTGCTGAGGTATCATCCTCTCAGCGCCTGCCTTACAGACCGGGTAAGTCCATTCTGGAAACAAGGGAATCTAGGACGTAAATAGGGGCTTCCTGTTGATCCTATCCTCCCACAAATGACTGCCATCCTCTTCTTGGGTATTTAAGATTCTTCTCCTGATATACAAAGGCTCTCTTTTCTCCAGCTCATGGGCCTCCTGAGTGATCCAGAACTTGGCCCAACAGCAGCTGATGGCTTCTCTCTGCTCATGTCTGACTGCACTGACGTACTGACTCGTGCTGGCCATGCTGAAGTGCGGATCATGTTCCGCCAGCGGTTCTTCACAGATAATGTGCCCGCTTTGGTCCAGGGCTTCCATGCAGCTCCCCAAGGTGAGGAAAGTCTAAGGGGCAGGTCCCACATTCATAGATCTCTCCTTTGTTCAGGTTTAGGACCTTATCAGTGCTTCTTCAGAGCAATAGTGTGGTCTGTACCTAAAGGGCTCAACCTCCAGATTCTTGCTCCCCTCTTTCTTTGGTTCAGATTGGAGTTGAATTCCCAAGCTCTCCCTAAGCTTTTTCGTCTTTTACAGATGTGAAGCCAAATTACCTGAAAGGCCTGTCTCATGTACTTAACAGGCTGCCTAAGCCTGTGCTCTTGCCCGAGCTGCCCACGGTAAGCCTTGGAGTCACAGCCTCTAAGTAGTGGACCAAGCCATTGTCCCCCAGCTAGGCTAAAGAGGGGAGGAGAAGCAGGCTCATCGTTCATGTGGTCATCCCCGCATTCCTGTGGCCCCGTAGCTGCTTTCCTTGCTGCTGGAGGCCCTGTCCTGCCCTGACTGTGTGGTCCAGCTCTCCACCCTCAGCTGCCTTCAGCCTCTTCTACTAGAAGCACCCCAAGTCATGAGTCTCCACGTTGACACCCTTGTTACCAAGTTCCTGAACCTCAGCTCTAGCCCTTCCATGGTATGTTGAGACCCAGCAATTTTTTTTCATTTTTAAAACATTTATTGATTTTGAGAGAGAAAGGAAGAGTGAAACATCAATTTGCAATTCCATTTATTTATATGTTCATTGGTTGATTCTTGTATGTGCCCTGACTGGGGATCAAACATGCAACCTTGGCATATAGGGACAACATTCTAACTGAGGTATCTGGCCAGGGCTAGCCCCAGCAACTTTTTGGCACCACAGCTCACCTTCTCAAGGTCTCCACTCACCTCCTTATGGTTATGTTCCAGGCTGTTCGGATTGCTGCACTACAGTGTATGCACGCGCTCACTCGCCTGCCTACCCCCGTGGTGAGTACCTCACACATTCCTGTCTGGCCCAGAAACTTCTAAGAGCCAGAGAAGTACCTCTTTGCCTTAGTTAAGCATGACTGGCCACCCTGCTGTGTGATGGAGGTATGAACTGCAAGGTACAGATAGGCAAGGATTTGCCTGAATACATTACAATAGAATAGTCATCTGCCACCTAGCATTCTCTGAAATCCTTCAGAATACAAAGATTATTAGTTGTAGAGGCAGACAAGAGGCTTTTTTCCACCCCCGTCATGTTGGTTGAAGAAAGCTAAGATTAACCCTTTTTACTCCACAGCTGCTGCCATACAAACCACAGGTGATCCGAGCCTTAGCCAAACCTCTGGATGACAAGAAGAGACTGGTGCGCAAGGAAGCAGTGTCAGCCAGGGGAGAATGGTGAGTTGCTAGGTCTTGGGGAGAGGGGACTGGAATGAGCCTCACCACTAATGCTGCCAACATTACTGTTATCTGCAGGTTTCTGCTAGGAAGCCCTGGCAGCTGAGCCCTCAGTCCTGGCCTAGACTGGTCTGATGGTCTAACCTGGAGTTACTGACTATTGAGCCATCTTGCCAAGGCAGGGAGACCACTGGCCTCTGACTGCCTTTCCCACGGATACAGCATAAATGCTGGGCCTCTGCTGCACAGCTGTATGAGAAACAAGAATCTGGGTTTATAATGGATTTATGAAATAACTGAGTGTGAAACTACCTGTGTTTGAAGAAGGATGTTAAGGCGCTTCCATATTTGTATGTCAGAAAAAGATGCTGCTGACGGCTGAATGCAAGTGAGTGTGGCCCTGAGGACCAGGGGTGGTGCCTGTATGTATATCTGCTGGAGAATAAAGATTTCTTTTGATACTGAGGTTGTCAGACATTCTCTCCCCCACCCCTGCCCCCACTTAGGCCTCAGCAGCACGTAACTAGAAGTGTCACTGTGTAAGTTACAAGAATAATAATGACAAGGATTAGCCAGAAATTCTTCAGGGCATCTAACCCCTCCAAGTAGGGCACAGGTGGCATGACCACAATACCTACCCACTAGGCCTTGACCCTGACTTTCCCCTCTCTGCCTTAAAGTAGTGGCAAAGAGTAAGAAGCTATAGATCTTTAAAAATCAAATACCTTTATTTTTGCTCCCTTCAGCATGTGAGAAGTGGCAGTGACCTCAGCAGCAGGCCTGTACCTTTGCCCTGTTAGGAAGGCAGAATCTCGGTTCAACCATTCAGGTAATTTCTCAGACAGCACGTGGAAGAGGTGGCGGCCAACTCCAGTGCTGTAACCTGGAGGTTGGGGTCAGCACCCGGCAAGGCTGCTAGCTGCCTAATCTCCAGTTTGTGGCTGGAACTTCTGTTTGCCTGAGTAAAGGAACATCAGTCCTAGGAATTTTTCCACATTGTGCCTTGCTGCTGCAGTGGCCAGGAGATAGGTCCTTGAGATGTCCCTGCACGGTACCCTAAGGCAGGCCCACTGGCTTTTTGCTCAAGAATTCCAAGAAGCTATCCTTGGAGGCCTTGAGATAATGCAGAAAGCAGAGTGATGCTCAAGTTGTGGCTAACAGAATCCAGCTCACACTGCCATCACAGAGGCTGACTGAGCGGTCACCCAGGGAGGGGGGTCCCAGTTTATTCCATTTCCGTGGGGCAGGTGACTGGAAGGTAACAGCACCCGAGTAAGCCAGTGCCTACAAGAGAAGACAGAAATGTGTCTGAATTCCAAGAGTTCTAGGGCTTCCTGGTCCTCACTCCTCAGTGGGGCTACATCAGGTTACCCTGAAGCTACCTTGGCATTAATCTCAAAGGAACAAAAGTCCAAATTTTGTCCAATAAACTGTTGTCTGGTGTCTTGAAGGCCTTTAGAGATATTCAGCCAACCATCTGAGGGGCCATAGTATGCACGGTGACAGCCAGGACTATAATGGGGATAGGAAAGGGAGGCAGGCAGGCACTTACGGCCACCTTATTACTGTCTCAGTTGTTGCAATTGGAAACATGATTTTCCTGTCTCTTGGGTGAAGGGAGCTAGCTTCATTTATTGTCTTAGGACCTCGATCACAAATAGATTACTTTGGTCTCAGAAATTACTGGCCTGAACTCCAGACACTGCCATATAAATGAGAGGAGATTGGTGGCCACCTTCTCTACCTAGAAATCCCTTCTCGAAAACGAGAATTTTATTCTCTTAGAATTTTATTGTGTCTTGTGTAAGCCACATCTGCTACTTAAACCACACGATGTTGGCCTTAAGCTCCGCTGGCTCAAATTAGCAGTGATCTCTACTCTGGATTCTAGATCTGTGCGGTCCAATATGGTAGCCACTAGCCACACATACCTTTTTAAATTAGTGAAAATAAAAATAAAAAATTCAGTTCATCCATGTATTAGCCACATTTCAGGTGCTCAGCAGCCACGTGTGGCTGGCTAGTGGCTAATGTCTTAGCACAGGTACAAAACACCTTTCTCATCAGAGTGCAGCTGGACAGCACTGGCCAAGGCAATTTCACTTTACCTTCCTGTGTCCACACCCAGGAACAACTTCCAGTTGTCCAGGCAGCCATAGTTGTAATGATTCCTAAAAACCTAGGACCAAAGAAAAACATGTTTCCACAACCCCTTTTTACTGAATCCCCTTCTGATTTTCCACCCTAAGCTGGTCAAGCCAAAGCTCAGCAAGGCAAGTTCAGGCCTTTTATGATGCCTGCCCTACTTGGCACTGACCATGACCTGTTTACAGGATGGTGGGTTCCTTTACCCACCCAGCACTCCACCCCCAGCCCTCAACCCTACTCACTCTGCCCTTGGCCTGCAGCCGACGTCTCTCCTTCTTGTTGATGTGCCTTTCGATGCTAGTCTCACCTCGACTGATGAGAACAGCATGCCATACAGTTAGGGCACCCAGGGCAAGTGCCACAGAACTAAGAAAAGTGGCAGAAATTGGTGAGTAGCTCAGAGAGGGTGAGAGGCTATGTGACATTAAGCTGAGTGACAATGATTAATTAGCTGGGGACCTCTGCCCATCTTCTTCATCTCCCAGCCTACACATCCCAAGGGAACTTTCCCCTCACTGTGTCTATGAAAAGCACCAACAAAAATGCTTCAGGGCACATTAAGAATAAATTGTGTGGAAAGCAGGGGAAATAAGTCTGTGTTACTAATAAAAATGTTCTGTATCTTATCTATGCTTGGGAGACTGGAAAGAGTAGTGAAAGCACCAGGGATTGGAATGGGATGGCATAAAATTCAGAGTCCGGCTCTACCGTTCACTTCTAGCTCTGTGTTGCGGACCAAATCAGTTCACCCTCTAATTTTCAGTGTTCCTCATTTATAAAATGTAATCCCCTACCATTTAGGTAGGAGTTGAACTTGTCTTGGCACGCAACAAACACTCAGTGCCAGTATCCTTAGTGTTCCCTGCACCAAATGCTGAAGAAAATTAAATACTGACTCTTTGCCACCCTAAGTTAGAAGTTTACACGGGCATCTACAAAGGGTTTTCGGAAGCTGCCCCTCCCTTATGCTGTTGAAAATGAGTCAGATACCTGCACAGGAACCAGAGGTAGACAAGACTCTTGTGTGTCACCCTTTCTCGGAAGGAGAAGGTGGGCGGTGGGGTCTGGTGATAAGTCTAGAAAAAGAAAACAGCAAATTCTGGCTTGTTTGCTGTGCTGGTCTCTACCAGAGCCCCCATCACCTGCAGGCAGGGAAGTGATCCAAGCCCAGGATGAAAAATAGGGGGTTAAGCCACAGAGGAGTCAGGGTAGCAGCCAGATGGGTGGGTGGACTGAGCCCGGGAGCACCATGTAGACAAACACTGGGCAGAGCGGGTCTGGACGGGATGGCAAAGCATAGGACGAGCTGACCCTGGACCTTTGGATTTGACAACACAGGTGGGGCTCCAGGGGAAGCCACTCCACTCCCCAGCTAGCACTCCTTCACCCTGTGGCTGCAATCCCCAAGAGGGGGGACCAGACCCATGCCCAGAATGGAAGGACTGCGGAGAGAGAACTGAGCTCCACTAAGGACTGAAAGGGCAGCAGAGGTACAATCATCAGTCCAAGATCTGCTCAGAGTAAGTCGTCCAAAAAGCCTGGGGAGAAGGGTTGATCCAGATGCAAATGCAGACAAACCAGGAGCAAAGGATGACCAGACTGGCCCAGGCTCATCTCTGTCCCCTGGAGCCCCAGTACACAGACCAACATAGACTCCTCACTGCTCAGGCCATCACCAAGGCAGAGTCCTTGCTCAGCCCACACAAGGTGATAATGGGATAGAGAAGCAAGAACTGTCACATACCAGGGACTTCCAGCTTGTCCCCAGGCCACTTAAGTCTGCCCATGGCAGACAGCCTCCCAGAACAGCCCTGATCCAGCCTCCAGCAGCCCCTCAACCAGTCTCTACAACTCTACCAGGTGGGCCCCCGTTGCCTGAGCAACTCTATACCCCCAGGCCTGAGCAGCAGGAGGCGGTGGGGTGGGGACGGCCCACCTGGTTGGCAACCGCCTGCAGTTTGTTCTTGTCGAGCTGTTTCATTTTCTAAGGGGATGGAAAACAGTGCTGGTTATACTCTCAGGCCTCCAGCATGAAAGAGCTACCAGCCCCACTCCTTAGGGACAGATTCCACACCCCAAGTGCTCTCTCCTGAGCTGCCCTGCTCCTAACTATGGGCTCACCTCGATGGCAGCATAAGCCTCCCGGAAAAGGTCCCAGCTTCCGTAACTGCAGTAGACACAGCCCAGAGTCATGAAAAAGCAGAAAGAGAAGAAGTACCGATGGTTATAGTGGCCCACACAGTTGTTTAGCCAGGCTGGTGGGAGCAGAATTAAGGACAAGATCAAACACAAAACTTCGGGGTGTGTCCAGGACTCTCTGGTTCATTCTTGCTTCACGATGACAACATCCAAGCCTAGGGCTTCCAGTCACCAAGAACTATTTTCCAAAAGCAGGAAAATATGGGACTTTCCAGAGGTTGAAGTGAAAGTGTTAAAGCATCTCAGAGCCCTCACAAAGTCCCTCCAGGAAATCATGAAAATTGAAACCCTTCACTAAAATGAATCTGCCAATATGTCAACCTAGCTGGGTTAACCAGACATCTGTATGGCACAGCAAAAGGGGAACCGCAGTTCTATCTGGACACCCAGCAGGCAACCACCTGAAGCCCAAACACTGTTTTCCATCCAATAGATGCTGGCATGACAGTCTACAACAGAAAGAGCGGTTGGAGTACACACGTTGCTCCAGGGAGATCTGTTCCAGAGAGCCTCTAAGCTTCCTGCTTCCCCCAGGGGATGGTCAGCCCCCACAACTTCTCTTCCGCTAACTTCTCATGAGCCTAATGTTCTCTGCAGGGTGATGCCAGGAGCCTCGGGTTTGTGGCCCTTAACCCTGTGCAGTGCTCTGAGGCTAAAGGAGGCGGCCTCAGGCAGAAGAGACAATAAAAGGATACGACAGTGATGATCCATCTTCAGCACACACCTGTGAGGGAGGGACACAGGCTCTGTTACGGTGGCCAAGGTTCTCGAGATGTCAGTGCCAATCCTTTCCTACAAGGACCAGCATCCTGCTGAGGTGGAAAAGGCACAGACTTTGAAGACACCCAGGCCTTGCTTCAAACCCCACGTCACTGGCTACACGATACTGAGTAACAACCCACATCTCTGAACCTCAGTTTCTACAGGCAGTGATAATGCCTCACTCACAGGATTTCCTGAGGACCAGGTGTCATGACAGAGAGGGCACATTGTCTGGCATGTGATGTGGGCTTCATAAACACCAAACTCCAGGTCTAGGTTTTGCCCTAGGGCTACAGCCAAAGGGCCAGAGCTAGGGTTCACAGAGAATGAAGCCAACACCCACCTATTGCAGACACTGCAGTGGTGTGTTCGGGCTGGCTTGGGGTAGATGCACTTCTTACAGATGGAGACTGTTGCGATATCATTCCTGCCCTGTGCAAAGAGAGGAAAGTGTCTGACAACAACTGGTGGCAGCACCGGTTTCACACTTCAAAAGATACCAAGGCACTCTCTCCCCACTCCTGCAACTACCTCCCTGGCCAGCAGCCCTCTGCCTGCCCCCGCCCCTGCAGAGACCCACCTGGGGTGGATATCCAGGTGGAGTGGTGATGGCCTGGTAGTAATGGAAGACGATGAGGATCAGATTCCAGTGACTATAGAAGAAATGCCAGCAGAGTCGTGGCACTGAGTAGGTTCGGAGGATGAGGGGTAGGACACATAGGTAGGCGATGGCCACAATAGAGCTGGTCAACACAATCACCAGCACCACGAACACCTGCCAACACCAGTAAGGTCAGGTAGATGCAGTGAGAGAGCTTGCCAACGCCCAGAGTAACTCAGGAATATCTCCAGGGCTGGTGTGGGTCCCTCTGCTACCCCGCAACATCCCTCTTCCTGCTCCCTGGGCATCACTCACCACCCCGCACCAGCGGATCACGTTGTCCACCAGCCAGTAGATGGGCTCAAAGGCAGCATCAACAGCAGTGTCACTGCCCCCGAAGGAGTTGTAGAGCAGGGAGCGCAAGCAGACCTTGCCATAGCGCCAGCGCTGCACCAGGCCCCGGAGCAGAGGGGGGCAGCGGCGCCTGGAGCCCAGGAGCAGAAGCAGGCGCAGGCAGAGGCGGGCAGGGCCCAAGAGCAGGCTCCACTGTCCACGCATGGCTCCTAGGAGAGCACACCATTGTGAGGGGCTGGCCTGGGTTCTGTCCCTCCCTAGCCCACCAATTGGGGAGGCCTTGAGCACCAGCTTAGAAGCAAAGACTTAAGACTGAGGCCTAGCTGGGCCAGTTAACAACTATGGGCAGTAGGAAAGTTGCTTCAATTCTCTATGGAATGTGGGGTGCCAATGTCCCAACCAGACCATAGGGAATAGGGTCTGGAGGCTCTAATTGGGTAGAAATCTTATTACACCACATGGTTACTCAGCAAATCCAAGATGATGCACAGCTAGAGTCAAGGGTAACGGTAAACGGGTGAAGGAGAGGTAGGCGGCTCCAAGACAAAGCAAGGTCACTGGAGTAGCCCGTGTAGCCAGATTACTGGGTGGAGCACAGCCAACATGCACAAAGCTGCCCACTGTGTCTCTGTGAGTATGGCCGCTGCGGCGGAGGGTTCTCCGAGTCCTCGCCTGCCCTGGCCCACTGACCTACCTCCTAACAACTGCTCTTCACCAAGGGAAAGCCAGTCTGGATGAATGCCCAGCATGTGGACCCTGGCACCTGGATCTTCCCTGGTGCCATCTGAACAAAAGATATTCATCCTTCCTGCTCCCTCTGGGCTGAGGTTACAAGCGACCAGACCCGACCAGGTAGCATGAGAGCCCGTCTACTGTCAGTACAACTCAGCTACCCCTTGCATGGCATAAGACACTTTGTCTCCAATTCCAGCCCAAGCCCAAGCCCCAGGATACAGAAGCCAAGATAACTTTGGGTATTCAGAAGAGAGTAACACCACAGGCAGGAAGGCACTGGCACTGGGTGGGGAGCCTCCAGGCTGGTGACTCATGGAGACCAGAAGGCCTGCCCACTGAGTGTCTCCTGCCTGTTCTAGTTGAACACTCACGAGCCTTTTCTGCAGCTGCTGAGCGTGGCCCCAAGCTTCCCAACCAGCCTTCCCAGCTCTTTAGTCCTTTTCATGGCTCCTCTGCAAGTGCCTTGGTCTCCTCTATGTGCTTTCTACCTCGTCCAACAGCCATGGACGGTCAGCTGCCCAGGCAATGCCCGGAAGACAGAGATTCTTTTGATTTGATGAGAGTCTCATCGATTCCACAGTAAAGTCCTTACCAGAAAAGAAATTATCTAATTTCCCCCTCCAGCCACTTTGTTCTCAGCAACTCCGCTGACTTATTTAACAGGCGGCTCAAAACCTAGCAGAAACTGGAGGAGGCTGCTCCACTGCAGACATGGTTTCAGTTCAGTAACTGGAGCAAGGTACTCTCCTTGCATCCTGGCTCATCACCACAAAAAGCCTTTCAAGGCAAACACTTAATTACCTCCTTCCACAAGCCCTATGACCTAAGCGAAAAAGAAATCCAGCAGGCAAGGTGGCAGAGAAAGAGAAGAAAGACGACTCAGTAGGGACCTACTCGCTGCACCAGGATGAAGAAATGGCCATTTCCATGCCACCTCCTGGGAGTTAGAGAATTAAGAGGCCGGATAGAAGAGAGAAAAGGAAGAGCTCAGACTTCCTACATCCTTTGAGTTGGGCTCTCATTGCTTGGAACCATGATTTTGCTTAAAGCATCAATTTTCAAAATAGTATATACAGTCACCACAATCAACTGTAAGAATGGGACAAAGCATTTTACCCCATGACAAATCCAAGTGACTTACACTGTCCACACCACTGTTTATTCCCTTACTATGGCTAACTGAGAGTTTCCTATTTGCTAAAACACAATAGCGATAGCTTACAAATAAGATGCATTTCTCGTCTTTATTAACATGAATTATATGCCATCTCCCCTGTCTACAAAAAACTTCCCGGATTCTCCACTTTTTGGCTTGTTCTCAACCATCTCCCGAATTCTTGAGGTCTACACGAAATGCCTGCTTCAATGACTAGATTCACCAACTCTAATCTGCCACATAATTTGACTACTCAGGGTTCAATTCTGCCCTCCAGTGGTTCTGTGACCTTAGGCAAATCACTGAATCCTGCCTGAACTCAATTTTCTTGTATTCCCGTTCACTGAGGAGGTAGGAGTAAATGCTAAGGTCTCTTCTACTCTAACCCTTATGATTCCATATACACACTTGGTAAGGTATAAATAAAATGTTTATAAAGTTCTTAGCACAATACCTGGCCCATGGAAGTGCTCAATAAATACTTGTTGAATGAATGACCTGGGATGCTGAAGTGGAGAGGCTGGTCGGATGTCTATCTGTCCTACAAATAACAGCAAGGGCATTCCTGCCAATATGATAACACTGAATAAATGTCTGCTGCTATAATTCCTCGTTGTTAAAATCATAGCATTTAAGAGTTAGAAGGCATTTTAGAAAACAAATTCAACCAGAAATCAACCCAAATATGTCCATAGAAATCTTGCAGGTACAGAGAAGAACAGATCAGATTTATGTGAACAAAGTCTGAAGCTGAGCCCCCACTCATTTTACCTAGTGGGGTTTGAGCACTATGGGGAAGCCAGAGTAGAGCAAATGAACATACGGAGTTTTCATCTCAGGAAATTGAGGTAAAGCAGAACTCAAAAAATTGTGTTGGGCGGGGAGGGGAGAGAGGGGCGGGTGGTCGGAGGGAACAGAGCAAAGTATAACGTCACTATCCCCCCAAACATAAGACCTGAACACCCTGATCCCTCGGTAGTAGCCACTGGCCATGTTGACATCTGCCACCAGGTTGTAGGGGACTGCAGGCAATGGCACTCCCCACCCCCACCCGGGCTGTAAGTCACCATCTGTTTCCCAAAGGGAAACTGTTTTGCTGGTGGGGAAACATGGATTTCAAAGCCACCAGAAGGCAGAGGAAACTGATGAAAGTCTTGGCAAATCTCATCCGGACAAAGACCCTGCTCTCAGGATGTTTGCAATCGCCAGCAGTAGGTGTTAAGCATCAGTAACAGCAGCATTTTATTCATGTGCACACTTCCCTTCCAGACAAATATGATGAGGAGAGAAAAAGTTACGGGTGGCCTCACACGACTCTTTAGAGTATCCCACTGTTAGATCTAGATCGGAAGTTAGTTACAAAAACTGGGAAAAGGTTTTGTTTCTCAGTGAGGGTGGCACGGTCAAAGTGCGATGGGCTGGAAGTCAAAACACTTGGGTTCTGGTTTGGGCTCTACCTTATACTATCTTCGACACACCAAGCAAGTCAAAATCTTATCTCTGGATCTGAGTTTGCAAATCTGTGAAATGGGTGAGATGGGTAGGTCGGCCTCCTTCCAGCTTCCCGTGTTACAGCTAATCGGAAGGTGCACTCCGCCTGGACAGAGGAGAGCACAGACGTGCAGGGCTCGGCGAGGAGACAGCTGGAAGCTGGGGTCACTGTAAGGCCCCGGAACAGGGCCCGATCCTAGAAAAAGGGACAAAACTGAGGAGCAAAGACCGCGACTTCGCGCTTACCTGCCTCCTGCCGACTCCCCAATCAGCCAAATCGAGCCCGTAACCTCCGCTCACTATCACCCCCTCCAGCTCAACGCCCCAGGCCGGCACCGCTCAATCCAACCAACCATGGCCCGCCGCCCACAGAGCCTGCTCGCAGACCCGGACTCGCCGCCTGCCCATCCTCAACTACAAGCGCAAGCGCAACTATACGCTTTCAGGCGCTCCGCCCCTGGCTTTGCCGCGGGGCAACCTGGGACATGTAGTTTACCGTCTCAAAAAGGCGCAGCGAAGGTCACGTAATAAGCGTACCAATGGGAGCGTTTTTTATTGAGAAACTGCGGCTGGACTTTGGCCAATGAGAAGTCGGCTTCGTTTTACTCCGGCTGGAGAAAGTCGCAGTCATGGTGCCACCCGTGAGGTACTGCATCCCAGGTGAGTGAGTGGTGCCCACAGTGGTCCTGTGTAGGGAGAAAGGCAGGAAAGGTCGATGGCCAACAGCTTCTGGGCACCGGTGGCTGATGCGGCGTTTTTTTCCTGCAGGCGAACGTCTGTGTAACTTGGAGGAGGGCAGCCCAGGCAGCGGCACCTACACCCGACATGGCTACATCTTTTCGTCGCTTGCTGGCTGCGTGACGAAGAGCAGCGAGAACGGCGCGGTAAAGGGGGCGGCCTCCGTCGCTGTGTCTCTGCTTTGTTCTTAGGCTGTCTTTGATTTCGCGGTCCTTAGGCAGAGGGCACTGTGGGCGTATCTCTAGTGCCTCATCAAGACGACCTGGTCTTTGAGTGTCTTCCAGCTGTCACTGCTGCTGGACAATTAGCTAGCATGGACCAGTTGTATTGCTGACACTCAGGGAAGGATATGTTGGGGAAGAGCAGAGGCGAGCTCAGCCCTCCGAGAGCTGAATCCTGTCCGAATGTCACCTACCTCTCTGGCCTCAGCGGTATCCCCGCCTCTGGTCATGCAGGTTCTTTCAGCGTCACTAATGCGCTAAGCTCTTCTCTCCTGGCACCGGGCCTTTATACCCACACCATCTTTCAGGAGCACATCTTCCCCGCAGACAATTTAATTCCTACCTATCCTTCAGATAGCCTGTGTATCACTTTCGCAGAGAAGCTTTCCTGGATGCCCTAGTTGAAGAAAGGAGTTTTGGCTTCTGTTGGTTTATTGTTTTGTTAAACACAAAGAACTGTGTTCCTTTCCTTCCAGGCACCTATCTTAGCATATAATTAAACGTTCAGTTTTATGCTCCCCTGCTAGACTTAAGTTTCTTGAAAGCAGGCCTCACCACCAAATCTTTATTGCCTAGCACAAGGTAAATGCTCAATAAACGTTTGTTGAATGCACAAGTAATACTATGCTCCCTAGTTCTAGAGCCTAATAGTGTTAGCTGAGGATCAGATAAGCAGTCTTTGAAGGAGCAGCTTAAAGAGAGGTAGTGTAGTAGAAAGAGGATTCAAGATTAGAACATTTAGGTACTGGCTAACTAGACCTTAATTCTGCTTTAGGTATGAAACACTTTCTCTGGCTTTAGGTTCTTCTTCATCTATAAAACGAGAAGCTTTTTATTCAGTTTGGGAACATCCTAAATATTGTAAGTTGTTCATTTCATAGGTATCTGTTGAGAATGTTTATGTGCCAGGCTCAGTGCTGACCTCTAGGGATATGACGGTGAGCCAAATACACGTGGTCTCTGCTGTCAAGGGACATAGACACAAATTGTAAAATTGTAAATAAGTTAATGTTCAAACGAATGTATGCTTACACATGCAATGACTGCATTAAAAAAACACCACAAGGTACGGTGAAAACATGTCATGGGTAAACCCACCCTGGTCAGTGGAAGTGACGTTTAACCACTCTAAAGGATAAATAAGGAGAGCTCAGTCCTGGAGAAAGAACAGGTTGAACAAAGCTGAGATGGAAAGAAATTTAGTGAGTTGGTGAAACTGAAAGACCAGGAGAGCCAAAGCATAGTGAACAAGGGAGAGATTAATAAAAGATGAGGTTTAAAAATACTGTCTTTTTTAAAATGCTATCTATCTCATACAGAGAGCCAATACTGTGCTCAAAGAAAACTGCAAGTATTCCCCTTCATCAGAGGTAAACAAGTCTAGCCACTGTCATGTAACATTCATTTGGATATTCTAGCCTGTACAATAAAATGAGAAATAGAAAGAAGCAGGATAACGTTAGAGGCAAGAGTCACATGATTCATGATTATAGGTAAGAAATTGTATAGCAAAAAATTACAAGAAAATCATACACAAAAAAAGCTTGTTAGAACTCATCTGAAATGGTTAGGTTGTGTCTTCTAGCAGCATTCTTCCTACAACCCTCCTATTTTCTAAAATTTCAAAGGCTTTATTCTCTGGGCTACAAATAAATCTGTAGTCTGCCTGGCCTCAACTGTGGACCATGGCATTCATACATTACACTCAAGCTGCAAATACCTCAGTTTTTGTACCCAGGGCTTAGCCAGGGTACTCACGTTTTATTGTTTTCTTTGCAGCTTCCTGTTGTGTCTGTGATGAGAGAAACAGAGTCCCAGTTACTGCCAGATGTGGGAGCCATTGTAACCTGTAAGGTTAGTTGGTCCTAACCTCACTATTTAGGATACCCACATCCAGTTCTGAAATCCGTGATTATTGTAGAACTACACTGTTCAGTATGGTAGCCACTAGTCACATGTGGCCATTTAAACTTAAGTAAATTAAAATTTAAAATTTATCAGTTCTGCTAGCCATATTTCAAGTGCTTAACAACCACATGTGGTTAGTGGTTTATCACAGAAAGTTTCACTGGAATTTGCTGGTGTAGAGATTTCTAGGATAATAATCAAAGCAGCCATATTCAGGTTTGCGTAGTTCTTTCACAGAACAGATTTTCTGAATATGTAGTTTTACTCGTATCTAGGAAACGGGGGCTCCAAAGGGTACTAAGGAGGCCCATATTTGAATATATGAAGTGAGGCCTTTTTCTACAGAGAAGCAAAAGATACTGTAGCATTCCTGTTAAATGTAGTTGATTAGGGTGTTTCATTGGAAATACAAATGAATGCTGTACTGATCAGTAGCTGTAACACATCGTCCCACCCTCTGCCAGGTTATATTAACTTGGAGCTCTTAGTAATTGGAGAGGTGGTGATCCAGGTATTATGCAGCAGCTGAAATGTAGACTTAAATTCCATCCACTGTATAAGCCTCTTAGGATCTGTTAAAGGTCTAGATTTACTATAATGCCCTGTGTCTATTTATATTAGACATCTGTATTTTGCAAAAGCTGTATTGTGCTATTTTATTTGATTTTGGGAGTAACTCCATTGGCTGGAGTGGTTCTTAATTCCACTCTACATGTGTCACTTGCACAGGGATAAGTAGGAGTTAACTTGTCTTAAATTCTATACTTAGTAGGTTGCTTGGACTAAAGCCCTGGTGATTCCTAGTTTATTGCTGCCTCCTTGAGCCGACAAGTGCTAATACTCTAATGCTGATGTTTTCTGTGTTTTCTAGGTCTCTAGCATCAATTCACGCTTTGCCAAAGTGCACATCCTGTATGTGGGGTCCACACCACTTAAAAACTCTTTCCGAGGAACTATCCGGTAAGAAGTATTCTTGTCTTGTTCACATTTGCCTCAGCACCTGAAACAACTTTGGAATTTTTAGCAACAGTTGCAATCCCCCTCCTGCCTATTTCTCTTCTCTTTGTACTTTGATTTGCCCCAGGTAGTGTCTTAGGAAAATACTGTAATATATAAGTTAGGACAGAAGGAAACTATTAATGAGATAGGGCTTAAGAACAGCAAAAAGAATTGAGCTAACCTAGAGATGAATGGTGTGGGATGCTGCATATCAAAGTAGAAAGCATTTTAGGAAGGACATTTCTTTCTTGAATTTGATATAGATTTAACCTACGGTTGTAGGACATTACAAAGGTTAGTGGATAAAATGATAGATTTTTTTTTTTCATGTGGAGTCTTTGAGAAGGGAGAGATAATTCCTGTGAGCCAGGTTAATTTAATTTCTGAGACCTTTTCTACCCTCAGGATTCTGTGTGGTTCTATCTTGTTTCTGTTCAAACTCTCCTAAGGCAGCAGAGTTCCTTATCCTTTCTTGCCAAATCTTACCAGCTTTTCTCTAATCAGAGGTATTGATACTGCTGCTCTATGTGATCCAAAAATATGAAACGTGGTTTTCTCCTCTCTTTGAGGCCTGTGGATGCTTCTCCACCTTGCGCCTCTGGGTGGCAGCTGGGTCCTAATTATGACTCTATCTCTGCTCTTACAGCTCTTTATCTGCTGGGCATCTGCAGGATAATTCTTTCTCACAATAATTAATCTTTCTGTTAATTTTTTTATAGCAAGGAAGATGTTCGAGCTACTGAAAAAGACAAGGTTGTTGGTTGGTTCTTTTCTTTTTTGGCTTTAGGATTCTCAATCTTTTTAAATTATTTCAATGAATTTTAAAGATTGGTGGGAATGTGGAGCCTAAAGAATTTGAAGATGTTCTATACTCGAATTTATTTATCACTATTTTCTCAGACTTATTCGGGACCATTCAGAGCCACATTTTGCCCAAGTCAGATTCCTGGTCAGATTACTGGATTCAAAATCTTTCAGTTAGCCCTGGCTGGTGTGGCTGAGTGGATTGAATGCAGGCTGTGAACCAAAGGTTCGCTGGTACAATTCCCAGTCAGGGCACATGCCTGGGTTGTGGGCCAGGTCCCCATTGTGGGTACATAAGAGGCAATCACACATTGACATTTCTCTCCCTCTCTCCTTCCCTTCCCCTCTCTCTAAAAATAAATAAATAAAGTTAAATAAATATATATTTTTAAAAATCCTTCATTTATATGATGATGCTGTAGAAGCAGTGAAAGTTGTTGGTTGACTTGAGTGATGCTGACTTCCACCCTCTGGGATTAGAAAGTAGACTGATTCTACCAGAGCAGTTTATAGTTTCCTATAGACCTAATCGAAAGCTTTCATTTAACACTTCTGGTCTTTCTTTACAGGTTGAAATTTATAAGAGTTTCCGCCCAGGCGACATTGTCTTGGCCAAAGTGGTATCCTTTATTCCCAGCAGACTTATGATCCTTTGTTAAAAGAAGAAATGGAAGTGGAGAAACAACTCAGGTGGCTGTGGGAGGGAAGACTTACCACCCTTCGTTTTCCTTCACCAACG